TTTCGATCCTGAAGATCTTCCTCTCTCGGCCCGCCGACAGGTTCTGAAGGCAGGACTAGATCCGGACAGTTTGACCTTAAGCGAGCATCGTCAAGTCCTGCAAGCCCATCGAAAGGGTACGGAGCGACGCTCTCACAGATCATCACGGTATGGTACTTCTGAAAGACAGGCAACACATGTGGCGGACCCCCCTCATTTCGACATCGACACGGGTACTCGAAGAAAGTCAAGCAATCCCGTTTTGGACCGAACTAAAAGACAATCGAGCTTGCTACAAAGTTGGCGCCACTCTCTCGCTACTGTACGCGAACCGGATGGGAATCGTCAGCATCAAGAGGAGAGGAGAGTGGCAATGATGCAGCAGAAACAAGCCGATATGGACGTGCAGCAACAAGAAGAGTTTCATCGGCAGACTCAGCAAGCGATCAAAGATGGTATGATGATCATGAACACTACCGAGGTCAACGCTGCACATCGAAGATTGATGAGAAAGCTCCAGCGCGATGCGATGTTGACGTCTTGAAAAGTGAGTTCAGCTAGAAGCTATCACCAATCGGGTACGATATCTGGAGGCCACAAAGAATGTGGCCAGAAAATGGAGGACTAGGGAGGAGTCGTGATGCTTCTTTGTCTCACTGTCACCTTGGCAAGTGATATGTGTTTGATTCATGCCGCATACAGATCAATATTCTTCTTTGTTCTAACATCTGTCAAAAATGCAAAGCCCCTGCCCTTCCTTTATTTACCTGGCTAACCAAGGCTAGATCGAGTATTGCAACATAATTCAGATAAACCGATCCTCGTCTATATTTTCACAGTTTAAGAACCGCAGATTGTGTTTTGAACATGGCAGCCTCGATTAATGGTTCTGCCAAAGACCTTGCCTCTATCAACAATGGTGGTCCTGCTAAAGGCCCTGCCTCTCCCAACAAGAATGGCCCTGTCAAGAAGAACGGTCCCATCAGCAACGACGTCTCACCCACAGATGATGGCTCTAACACGAACAGCACCTCCGACTCTGCCATAATCATCACTGCCACATCAACCCGACGCTCGCCCCGCAACGAAAACAAAGCCACCAACGAAGTCGAAAAGAAGAAAAAGACCAAGGAGCCAGGCACAAAAGTCGAAAAGCAGAAGAAGCAAACCAAAGCCGCCAAGAAAGCAGAGAAGAAGAAACAAAAAGCCGACAAGAAAAAGGACAAGGGCAAAGCGATCGCGAAGCCCTTGCTCGATCACATGGGCAGACGTCCAAATCTAGCCTACATCAAAGATCGAGACCGACTCGCCAAGATATGGGCCAAGGAATTGGAAAAGGAGATTACCCTCACCGATGCCCAGTATGCTACCGTCAAAGGCATCTACAAGGAGGTCATGGCTCTTTACCAAACGGACAAGCTCAACGTCTTGACGCGGCTTTCGTTGACTGGTAAGGCTACTGGCAAGGAGATTACCACGCTGAGTGGGTTGTTTTGTTTTATTCTTAGCCGTACGCAGAACTTGACTGAGGAGTTGTTGCCTCCTATGCCGAGGATGGTGGTCACGGAGGAGATGAGACGGTTTGATGAGGAGGAGGAGAGATGGGCTAGAGAGCAAGCTCGTTCTGCTCAGAACAATGTTCGGCAGAGCAATGCTCCTGTACAGAATGCTGTGCCTGTTCAGAATGCTGTTCCTGCACAGAATGCCGTTTCTGTCCAGATTGATCCCAACCAAATCTATCAATGCATCGTCAACGCAAAGGCCTGGGGTGGATCTGATCACATCGGCGTGCTTGGCAGGTCTCGTCTTTAGGCAGAAGGTCAACACGGAGCTTCACGCAAAGGAACAATGGTCGAGTGGTATGAGCATTATAGCTGGGTTATCAGATTACAATGCTTGTCTATCGATCTTGTGCTCTCTATATATAATCGTGTCAGGCATTCAAGTCCTACAATCATCTTGCGATATTTCCTCCTGTTCTGAGCATGAACAAATCATCACCAATCCGTATCTGACTGTTGAACAAAGAACATATACGTCGACGGACACCAAAAATCAAATACGAACAACTCAAACTCGATCTGGGCTTCAAAATCAGAATACTCGAGCAATATGGTATATCAAAATGGCGAGCTAAGAAACGACCACATCTTACGGAGACACATGCTCGATTACGTCTTCAATGGGCTTTGAAATACAAAGATTGAACACTGTTACAATAGTTAAATGTCTTATAGTCTGACGAGTGTTTTGTCGAGCGTAGTACAAGCAAAGAACAAGAGTGGGTCTTTCGTACACCTGCAGAAAAATGGCATAAAGAGATGATACAAACGTACAATAAAAGCAAAGACGTATCCGTTATAGTCTGGGCTTGCTTCTAAGGTGGAGGCGTATCTAATTTGATCTGTATAGGTTGTGATTTTGAAGCTGCAAAACAGGGATACTCTGCGGCTTCGTATCTGACAGTTCTTGACGACGAGCTTATTCGTATCTACGAACCAGGCCTTATCTTTATGCACAATAATGCTCCTATCCATACTGCATACGATACTTAAAGATGGCTTGGATCTTATAGAATCTACATTATGGAATGGCCTCTGTATTCACCAGATTTGAACCCAATCGAACATCTTTGGTTCCATCTTAAAAAGAGGCTATTATTGAACCACCCTGAGCTTATAGGCCTACCAAAATCGAACGCAAAGACAAAGCACGCCATTGGTAAGGCCTTACGTAAAGAATAGCCCAAACTTAGCGAGGATATCCGTACAGCTTTGATCGATAGTATGCCTTGACGCGTACAAGCTGTAATCGACGCGGAGGGTTGGCATACTCGATACTGATTTTATGTATATTCGAATCAAGGCCTTAATAGTACTAAATTGAAGCCCTGCTTTTTAGCTACAAAATAAGCTATAAATCAACTAAAATAAGCGAATATTGAGTGCGCAACAAGCGAATAAACCAGGTTGGTGGACTCGAGGATATGGCTAATCTTCGGTGCTTGCGCAGACTTTTGAGCAAGTACCGTACTTCCGCAAGCAGCATCATTGGTCCTCTTGCTTCAATAACCCACATCTTGTCCAGAAACAGACAAACCCAGATCTCAACCTCGTAAGAACTCATAAAGCAATGCGATCTACGCCACCGACCGCTTAATCTCATGCATCATATGCTTCAACGTACTAACACCAGCCTGAAAAGCCCAACACATACTATCCAACTCATAAAGCGTAACCTCTCCTCCCGCCACAGCACGCGAAAGCGTAGCCAACACGGCCATCTGATCCTCCTCCTCGTGCGGTGCCCCGAATTGCCATACCAGATACTTTAAATCTTGCACCTGGTCCGGATTCAACACGCGTTGTTTTTTGTAGTCCCAGCCTTCGTCGCTGTGCGTGTCTCGAACGGCTTTGAAGTTTTTGATTTTCCTTGAGGCTTTGGGTCCGGTTTTGGTTCCGGTTTTGGGGCGTCTTCTTGGTTTGCGTGTGGATTTGGGGGTTTTTGCTGCTTTGGCGCGCTTTTTGGCGAGTCGGCCTGATCGCCGTGGTGGGTTTGCCGTTGCTGCTGCTGCTGCCGCTGCTGTTGTTTTCTTTGTGAAGGCCATTCGTGGAATCGTGAGATCTGGCGTGAAGCTGTGACCACGGCAAACTGACACAGTGGAAGAACGACTGAAGTTGCCTAGTCGTGTTATTGGTATATCGTGGCAATGGTTCGATGGATCCTTGGGGCAATGCAGTCAGGTCGATCGCCGAGCTCGAAGGAAATGTTTCGACCTGGAAGGACAAAGGGTTTGTGCTTGTCCGCTTGCGGTGGCGGCGGCGGCGGCGGCGAGATTCTTCATCATCACCATTTGATAGCTGTCATTTCCAGTCGCGTACTTGTCACTCCAACTTGTCTCTCTTCTCTTTGGCGTCCTTTTCTTGCTGTTAGTAGAGCTGTAGTGCGACCGAGCAATCCCAGCTTATATACAATCTTGTCATCAATAGGTACTCAACTATAACCACCAGTCTTACATGATAAAGACAAAGAGACATGCCGCATGCAGCAACGCAGTTCTTTGATTGTGTCTGACACAACTTGACCAACTCGATATCTTTTCCTTTCTGCTCTCCTTGCTCCCACCAACGATATACATCTCACCATGACTCCCAAGAAGAAGCCAATCCCCACCGACACCGACACCGGGAAGAAGAAGCCAACCCCCGCCAGCACCGGAAAGAAGACCAGAAACCGCGCGAACAAGATAATCAGAACCAGAAAAGTAGTAGCCAAGGCTGTTCGAAAATCAAGAGTCGCGAAACCAAAGAGACCCAAGGCAAAGAAGCCCAAGGACTCGAGCAAAAGCATCTCACGTAACCGAGCCACACAAGCACACAAGAACTTGAAGGCCCTCGAGGAAGCACGCGACTCGGGCTTGAAGGTCATTATACAGACAGGTCAAACGCCTCAAGAATCAGACAACGGGTACGACTCATGGGCCACGGAATTCGACATCACGAGCGATGCCGAGTATGAAGCCAACTATCGCGACGCCGACGACGCATGGCTCGCAGTGCAGGCGTCGTTGTCGCCATCTGATGCCAAAGAATTGGTCGACAGGCCTCTCACGGATAAACAATGGGATCGCCTGAACCCGCATGTGAGCAAATTGCTCGAACATCCGAAACATGCGAATTTGCACACGCCGGACTATCCTGTTTGGGTACGTTATAGCTGGCTTGGGTATTTGCGGAAGATGGAGCGGACCCAGAAGGTCAGTCTTGATGGTATCGACTGGTTGGGAAAGATCGCGTATGAAGCAGGGGATGCGTTGTTTGAGATTGAGATTGCGGATCAGATGAGACGTGAAGTTGAGGAGATGGACCCCTCGACCAATGTGCCAGCAGTATAGTTGGAATAAACCTTGTTGTCAACGAGGGTGAAAAGGAACACTCCAAAACAGAAATGAAATTATCTTCAAAGCAGCGTGCAAAGATACAGTAGTTCTCATAGAAATAGGAAAGCAAAAAGAAGAATCCTGGCGATTAACGGAATCGAACCGCTGTCGAGGCCGCACTGTAGAATCCGATTGCTCGGACTGAGCTCCACAAGGCCGCATGCTACCACTACACCAAATCACCCATGAAGGGGGAGGCTATCGCAACCAGTGGACTGGCTGCAGGATCCTCATCTCGGTGAAATGGCTGGCCTCATATGTATATAAACCTTTGTTTTGATCTGCCACAGTGGTTAAGAAAAACCGACATTAATTTTTATCGATATTCATCATTTTATTGACAGTTTAAGAGACATCGATATTTTTTATCGATATTCATCAGTTTATTGACAGTTTCATCTACAAGTCGACTCGACAAGTCGGACTATCCAACTCCCGTCGATTTTAATTAAGGGAAAGGGTGCTACCTAACTATCCTAGCGACGCTGTCGCTATAGTTATACTAGCATCGTTTCTAAAAGGATAGAGCGCTGCTATAGCAATATAGAAAAGAGCTAAAAATATTAAATAGAGCAGAAGGCTGATTTAGCCTATTTAGTCCCTTAATCCAAATGATAATGCTGTCTTTGCAGAAGATATAATAAAACGCCTTATTAAAAGAGCAGTGAACGCCTAAAATGATAAACTTAATGTTTAAAATAATAAACTCAATGCTTAGAATAATAAACTCAATAAGCTGCTTAAAAGCCTCCAGACTCAGAATAAGACCCTCCATTAGAAGAATATTACCCTAATAGCGATATTTAATATTGTTATAAAAAAAATAAGAAGCTTAAAAAGAAGCTTAATAGCATAAGCGTAGATATTAAAGATATTAATGCTAATATTAAAGCCTTAGATACTAAGGTCTAATCTATTAAGTCTAATATTAATAAAGGAAAGACAGTCCTTTTAACCTTTAAATAAGCAAGCTCAATATCCTTAGCTAATTCTAATATAATAGCCTTTTTACTAATTTTCTATATTTTAGCAGTATTAGGCTTAATTAACCTATTGTTATTAGCTATATAGCCTTAATATAGTAATATTATAGTAATAATATTACCTACCTTTCCTAAAAAACTGCGCTAACTTCTAAATGTTATAATAAACCTAAGCTAAATAATAGCTAAATAGCGCAAAATGATAAATAACTATAAGATAATTAGGAATAAAATCCAGAAAGCTATTACAGCCTAATAGTCTATAAATAATATTATTATTAAAAGAATCTAATTTAAAGTAAAGGATATAAGGATTATTATTTAAAATAAGAAAGACGCAGCATAATTATAAATAAATAAAGTATAGATTTACTAGGTATTTAAGATACCTCAAATCCGTAAAGAGGAACTCTTTCTAATTAAGGTTAACAATATACATAAAATAGCAGTTCTAGTATTAAGCATTTATAAAATTAAACTAGAACTGGTAGCTGAATTCAATATAGAAAACAGGTTTGCTAAAGCTATTAAGGTGTTCTAGCTCTCTAAAAGGGAGAAACCTAGAGGATCTATAGTAATATATTTTAACATAATGGAAGACGCTTAGAAAGCGCTTAAGGAATATATAGTCCAAATTGATAGCAGCATAGCTATAGTTAGCCAATACTATAAAATCTAACGCCTCTAGAGATACTATAACTGCAACAAATATAGCTATTACTAGGCTAGATGCAGCTAACCTTTAAAATATAGAAAATACATAAATAATTATAAAATTAATAATTATATAGCTATAATATTAAAATATGCAGTATATAAGGAACCACATATAGCAATAGACTCTGGATATATAATATACTGAAATAAGATTAATAGAATTCAAAGCGGAAACAAACCCTTTAACCAGCCTATTAAAGCAAGGGAAGAGAACTAGCAAACAGTTATAAGCCAATGTACTAAATAGGAAGTTACTATAAGCAATATATAATAGGGGATACCTGCTTCCTTCTAGTAAATATAAATAAACAATCCCTAGTCTAGCTTAGCCTTATTAACAACCAGTCTATTAGCTAGTTTATAGCAATTATAGTTATAAAATTAAGCATTATTAATATTAAAAGCAAACTATACGTTTTATAACATTAATATTAAGTTACTATAATATTAACTATATATTAAAAAAGACTAATGTACTACGCGTTTTAATTAGCATTTTATATTTATAAAGATATTTTATTTATCTAGATCCCTATAATGTTGTTTAATATAATAGTAAAGGTTATTACTATATTAATAAGACATATTTTTATAGCGTTAATCTATATTCTAAGCTATAATAGGCATATGCTTTCTAAATAGGACTTAGAAGAGACAGCTACTACTAAGCTTAATGCCCTAAGTAAAGCAATCTAGAAAGCAAAAGCTAAATATAGAGAGAACCTTTATATTATAACTAAAAGTGATTTTAATTGTTATAACCTAATATAAAAAGGAATTAATATGCTATAGTTATAATATAAAAGAGAAAGCAAATTAATGCTTTAATAAATATAATAGTATAATACTTTCTTAGCTTTATTAAGCAGCATAATTATATTCTTATAAAGACAATTCGGAACTATTATTAACTTTATACTAATGTCTAATTTAATAGAAAACTAGGTTATAAAATGTAGTATCTACTTAACCTAATATAGATTAGACTACAAAGCTATAATATTTCAAATTAATAAGATTAAAACAACTATTTTATAAGAAGCTAAATACAACTTCAGAAAAACAAATTAGGATATAGCTATTAAGGCGCTTAAGGGATAGAGACTGTCAGTTGTTAATATTAATAATACTATTAAGCTTAATTAGGCAGTTATAGAGATTCAGAACACTGTAAGTTAATATATTTATAATTATAGCTCTGTAGTTAAGAAATTACTATATATAAAAGCATAATAGAACAATAAACTTATAAAGCTATATAATAAATATATGCAATGCTTAAACTAAAGCACTATGCTATAAATTATAGAATTAGATAGTAAAGAAAGCTGCTATAAAGCTAGGCAAGCTAAACATTAGTTTTATAAAAGTATCTATAATAAAAAACGACTACACTAGAATAAATTCCTAGCATAGATAGACAATATCTGAAAAGCTACTTAATACCTTAATTCATAATTATTAGCGTTTAGCAATATCCCTATTATAATTACTAATGTTAAAAGCTAGGAAATAGAGCTTAAAGAAGATAAGGCTAAAGCGAATAAACTACTCTAATGCTTTTTCCTACTAATTTTTAAAAAATAGAAAAAGAACGCGCTGAACCCTAATGCTAGATATATAGAGAACCTGGATATCTCTATTAAAAAAGTAACTAGGGCAATAGCTAAAATTAGCCTATATAAAGTACTAGATATAGATAGTATTCTAAACATTATATAGAAACGCTTATAATCCATTTTAAATAATTAAGTCACTAATATTTTTAATATGTTATATTAATTAGGATATATACTAACTATATAGAAAATAGTACAAATCTTATTATTATAAAAGCTAGGAAAACCGGACTACTAAATAGTAAAAGCATATTGCTTTATCTTCTTTTTAGCTATTCTAAGCAAACTAATAGAATTTATATTAATAAAAAGAATATTATATTAGGCTAAAACGTTTAATCTCCTTTTAAAAATATAATTTAGCGCTAAGCTAAAACACTTATATAATTAAGCGCTGCTTCTTCTAATTAAGAAAATCTTTAAAGCATAATAGTAAAAGAAAATCCTTTCCCTTATTAGTTTTAATATAAAAGGAGCATATACCAGCGTCCCTTAATAAATGCTTATAAGTTAGCTACGCGTAGAGGGGATCCTAATTTACGTAGCAGTATAGGTTAACTCCTTCTATATAGATTAACTAGCAATAGTATTAATTAATAGCATAAAATTAAATAGAGTTATATTTATAAAATCTGGCCTTTTATAAAGATTAACGCTTACTCTAATTCTATATATCTTCTTTAACGCGTTCTTAATAAAAGAAAAGATTAATAAGAAATAAGGCAATATAGTGTTTATAAATAACTATACTTAATAGGCTATTTTAGAATTAATAGAAAGAAATATATTAGTATTTAATAACAAAATTGTCTTAAGAGCCTTCTAATAAGCAAAAGACAGTAGCATTATATTTAAAAATAATAAAACAATCCTTATATACTTTACATAAAATTGTAGAAAGGTTAGCAATTCTGACTTCCTATTAAGAGTAGGCAACTATGTTGTCAAGCTTTTATAAAAGAAAGAATCCTAGAAGTTATTTTTAATGCTGAGCTAAGGTTTAAAAATCACTTAACTAAAGTTAAAATAAAGGGGTAGAGAAATGCTAGCTAACTTAAACGCTTCTTCTATATTAGCCTATAATTAGCAAAATAGCTATATTAAGCTATAATAGCTTTCAAAATAGATTATATAGCTATAATATAATATTCTAAGTCTTTAAAAACAAAGATTAATAATAGCACAGTAAAGATTCTCAATTCTATATAAAAAATAAAGGCTTAAGTAGTTATTAAATGCTTCTATACAAACTTAATAGAAGCATTTAGTACTAAAGCCTTACTCTACCTCCTATATATTTAGCTAAAACTGAAAGTTAGCAAATTCTAAATAGGACTTTATATATTACTAGAAATTAACCTATTAAAAAGACAGCTTAGAAAACTAGCTAAGAAACCTAAAGCAAAGTTATTCACTTCCCTCCTTAATAATATGGAAATATAGTTAGGAAGATAGGGATTAAAATAGAAATCATTCTAGTATAGATGGCTCTACTATAGGAAATGACTATAGTTAATAGCGAACCTAACTAGTATAACTCAGATAAGGCGTATAGAGAGTATATTAAAATAAAAGACTAGTGTATAAATGTCTTTGCTAATAGCTTAGTAACTAACAGCTAAGTAGGAGTCAGAGTAGCAATATACTTTAAGAAGTCAATACTACTATCCACTTACTTTTAAAGAATCAAGTCTAGAAGTAGCATTGACAATATAATAATAGAGCTAATAGCTATTAAATAAGCAGTAACCTTAATAGGTATTATATTAGAAACGTTAATAAGCTAAAGGAAGCTAATCCCCTAAATAGCAATATAATTAAATAGCTAAAAAGCTATTTGCATAATTAACTATTAAATAAGCTAA